TTCGTGCCTAAGAAACGCCCCGAATAAAAAAAAATGGCCTATTTTTGAAAATTTCAACCATTCACCGCTAAAACACCCTTTGATTTGCCCGCAATATTTCAGGGCTACGTGATCTACTCCTCCTTAGGCTCCTTCTACTTGCCGCTGATCACCATGACCATAGTCTACATTCATATCTTCATTGCAACTAGACGAAGGCTGCGTGAAAGAGCAAAAGCCTCGAAAATCAACGCGATTTCGCGAAATCAGTCCCATAGACAAGCCGACTTGGACCGGGACAGTGTGAGCAGCGGGGAGACCAATCACAACGACAAGAGCAGCGACATGAGCTGCAAAAAGGGGAAGAAGAAGAAAAGAGACAGCAAGGAACTGGAGGATGCGAAGCAGCTGAAGCCAATCCTGGCCAATGAGGACTGGGCAACCGATATGGGTAAGAAATGAGGCTGTCTTGGAACCATTCCTTGTATCATTGAGTGATTGTTCCAGGCGAGAATTCCTCCAACTCCCAAAAGAGCGACGAAATCGGCAAGGAGTCAAATCTGCCAAACAACCTGAAGAATGAATGCGGAATCATCGCGCTGAGTAACAACAAAAGCAAAACTGCTGGATCCAAAGTGGTGGTAATCGAGCCACCGAAGAAGCCGAGCGGCATCTTCCAGTTCATCGAGGAAAAGCAACGAATCAGTTTATCAAAGGAGCGCAGAGCTGCCCGAACTTTGGGCATTATCATGGGGGTATTTGTGGTGTGTTGGCTGCCCTTTTTCCTCATGTACGTCATTGTGCCCTTCTGCCCTTCTTGTTGCCCATCCAGGCGAATGATCAACTTCATCACCTGGCTCGGCTACATAAATTCCGTTCTAAATCCGATCATCTACACGATTTTTAACTTGGACTTTAGGCGGGCGTTTAGGAAATTGCTGGGTTTAGGGCAGTAGTTAAGTTGCCCCTTTAGTGATTAATTGGGGTAGTTATTCACTTTGATGCTCCAAAACAACTGTGATGTTTCCAATGGAACTTTGCAAGCCCATTTCGTGTCTGTGCTCGGAAGTTTACCGTGAATTAGAAATAATGCAAAAACCTAGCATAAGTTAACGAATTCTATTATCCAAACTAGAGCGTCTGTTGCGTAGCTTGCTACTGTTAAGCACTATTTGTAAATAGCAACTTGAGTGGATTTTATCGATGTTTTCAGCGATTATGAGCCCTAATTTTCTGAAAATATTCTGCAAAAAACGAGCCGAAGACTGCAGAAAGTATCTCTTAGTAAAACATCAGCACTAAATAATGCGTGTTTTATCAGCTGTTGTACAAACAATGATCAACACCAGATAATGTAGCTTAAGGGAACCAGTAATGATTTTTTTCTATATTTGTATGTGATTAGGAGAGCTAGTTATCGACGTTGAAATGTGTGTTTATACTGTAAATAAAATTTATTCGAATCTACTTTTGTTCTTTTAGTCAAGCAGCCCACACTTCCAGGCAAAATGGGGCTGAAAATGCCACAAGAACGGTTCTTACTTAAATATTCCCAAATATTTGTACAGAAAATGTTCCGCAAAAGTGTTTGGACACGAAAGAAGGCGACAACACAATATGACAAATTTTGACGAACAAC